GGGGGGAAAGGAAAGGGGGAGGGGAGGAGGGAAAGGGAAAGGGAGAGGGGAGTGGGAGAGGGGAGGAGGAAAGGGGAAAGGGAGAGAGGGAGGGGGAAAGTGGAAAGGGAGAGGGGAGTGGGAGAGGGGAGGGGAAGAAGGGAAAGGGAGAGGGGAAGGGGGAGGGGAGGGGGAGCGGGGAGGGGGAGAAGGGAGGGGTTAAGGCTGAGGGGACAAGGGGTATGAGAGGGATGGGATGGGTAGGGGTGGGAGGGATGATGGGGGAAGGAGAGGTAGGAAGGGAAGGGAGATAGGTAAACGGTAGAGGGAAGTGGGTAAGGGAGGAAAGGGAAAGGGAGGGGGGGAGAGCGATGGGAGGGGTGATGGGGGAAGAGCGGAGAAGGGGTGTGATAGGAAGTGGGGAAGATGGAAGAAGGCAAAGGGAAGGGTGGGCAGTGGCGGGGGGGGGGGGGAAGCGAAGACGAACGGGGGTGAGGGGGAAGGAAGGGAAGGAAGGTGCACGAGGGAGCTTTGCATTAAGGCGAGGAAGGAGAGACAGAAGGGGAAGGGGATACAAGGATGACTCAGGGGAAGGGGAAGAGGAGGAGAAAAGGAGGAAATAGCGGACATAAGAGCACAGGGGAAGGAAATCTCAGGGTAAGGGGAGAAAGGGAGGAAGCAGAGGCAGAGAAGAGGGGGGGTGCGCCTCGAGGGGAAGGCAAATGGGAGTAGGGGCCCTAGGGACTTGTAGGGGAAGGGAAACAGACACGAGAAGAGGGGCAACGACCAGAGAATTAGAGGAGGTGATGAAGGATTGTTGGAGCATGAAAAAATAAAGGAAAGGAGAGGGAAACAGAGAAGAAGAAGAAGAAGAAGAAAGAGAAGAAGAAGGAGAAGGGGTCACTAGAGTCTAGTACGCAGCAGGGGGAGAGGGAGAGACAAGTGAACCAACGAAGATGAGATAGGAGAGATGAGAGAGGCAGACGTAGAGGCAGAGAGGGAAATTGAGAAATTTAGACTGACGGGAGTTCGTTTGGACTGAGTGCATTTTATTAGAATCAAATATTCCTGTGATAAACTGATGTCATATATCAACGGTCAGGGTAGAGAATGACTGGAATAATCAATAATAAATCTAGGTGAAACAAAAAAAAGAAAAAAGTAAAGCAATAAAAGATAAACTAATAGAATAGTAGATAGTTTTTTAATTTTCCAAAGGTCTGAAAAATCCAAAGTACTCTTCTCTCTTTCTGTCGCTTTCTCTGATTCTGCTTTCTCTCTCTCTCTCTCTCTCTCTCTCTATCTATCTATCTATCTATCTATCTATCTATCTTTCTCTCTCTCTCTCTCTCTCTCTCTCTCTCTCTCTCTCTCTCTCTCTCTCTCACTCTCTCTCTATTTCCTTCTCTCTCTCTCTCTCTCTCTCTGTCTCTCTCTCTCTCTCTCTCTCTCTCTCTCTCTCTCTCTCTCTCTCTTCTCTCTCTCTCTCTCTCTCTCTCTCTCACTCTCTCTCTATTCCTTCTCTCTCTCTCTCTCTCTCTCTCTCTTCTCTCTCTCTCTCTCTCTCTCCCTCTCTCCTCTCTCTCTCTCCCTCTCTCCCTCTCTCTCTCTCTCTCTCTCCCTCCTTTTTCCCCTTCCCTCCTCCTTTCCCTTCAACTCTCCCCTCCCTTTCAATTCTCCCTTCCTCCCTCCTCTCTCTCCTCATCTCTCCATCTTTCTTCTTCCCTTTATCTCCTCTTCTCCCTCCCTCCCCTTCTTTCTAACCCCCCCCCCCCCTCCCTCCCGCAGACGAGCTCCGGGCGGCGGTGCACCAGGGCGGGATCAGCTCGGCTTCCGCCCTGGCTCCTCGGGGCGTCGGCCGGTCGCACCTCCTGCTGCTCCTCCTCCTTAGCCTCCTCGTCTGCTGTGTCTCTTCCTCCTCCTTTCCTTCGTCTTCGTCGTCGTCGTCGTCCCAGCTCCTCCTGACGGTGGTCTCCTAGCCTCCAGGCCGCTCGACTTTTCACGGTAAGTTTTTTTCTTTTTTGAGCTAAGAGTACTGGAGCTGAGACGGTATATGTTTCGTCTCAAGCAGAGGAGAATCAAAGACAGATGGGGAAAGAATACGAGAAAGAATCAGGAATAACACGAATAAGAAAATTGATAATAACATAATAATGATGATGATGATGATAATAATAATAAAGAATAACACGAATAAGAAAAATAAGATAAAGTGTACATAAATACCCGCCCGCCAAAGTCTTGTGTAAAACTCCTCCTTTTGCAACCCGCACGCACGACCCTCTTATGGACGAATCGAGCCATCTTTCTCCTTCCTTTTTGCTCTCCCTCCCTTTCTCTTATTTTGAGGAGGCGGTTGCTATGGCATATAAAAGCGGCACTAGATCGCCTAACACGGCTCTCAGCTCGCGGCATATCTGTGTTACATCGTCGCTTTGCCGTCAAGCAGCGTCTAAGTGGAGGACTTGAGGAGCTTCCCTCTGTTATTGCCGACTTGGTCACGCCGATTGTCTTTTGTTAAGTGCGTAGCCTTGCATAAAGAGCGGCGTATATGACTCAGAGAAGAAAAGAATGAGAGAGAGAGAGAGAAAGAGAGAGAGAGAGAGAGAGAGAGAGAGAGAGAGAGAGAGAGAGAGAGAATCTTCGCCTTTAACTCAACTCGAAGAAGATAAAATAATAAAAGAAAAACGTCATGTTTAACAAGGTTGGATATCGAGTTGGATGAAGAGCCGGGCCATAAAACACCCTCTTTTTTCTCTCCTTTTCTATCAATCTTAGCGGAAAAGCGCTCGAAGTCCTTCCGCCCTCCCTCCCTTGGCCATTCCCCGCCCATGCCCTTGTCCGCCCACGGGTGTCCTCAGGGACCCAAACACCCTCGATCCCTCGCGTCCCTCCACTCGTAAAGTTTTAACATGCAATTATCTCTCCAACATTGCCGACGCTCGCTCACACTCACTCGCACTCGCTCGCACTCGCTCGCCCTACTCCCGACTCACTCATACACCGGATCTTCTCCTTTCATTTTTTATATTTTTTGTAGAGGAATGGGATTGTCCAGGCATCCGAGCTCGCGTTTCGCGTCATTTGCATTGCAATGTTTATGCTGTTTTTGTCCTTTCTTTCTCTCTCTCTCTCTCTCTCTCTCTCTCTCTCTCTCTCTCTCTCTCTCTCTCTCTCTCTCTCTCTCTCTCTCTCTCTCTCTCTTTCTCTGTCTCACTCCCTCTCTCTTTCTCTTTCTCTCTCTCTCTCTCGCTCTCTCTCTCTCTCTCTCTCTCTCTCTCTCTCTCTCTCTCTCTCTCTCTCTCTCTCTCTCTCTCTCTCTCTCTCTCTCTCTCACACACACACACACACACACACACACACACACACACACACACTCCCTTTCTCTCTCTTTCTCTTTCTCTCTCTCTCTCTCTCTCTCTCTCTCTCTCTCTCTCTCTCTCTCTCTCTCTCTCTCTCTCTCTCTCTCTCTCTCTCTCTCTCATCACTCTCTCTCTCTCTCTCTCTCTCTCTCTCTCTCTCTCTCTCTCTCTCTCTCTCTCTCTCTCTCTCTCTCTCTCATCACTCTCTCTCTCTCTCTCTCTCTCTCTCTCTCTCTCTCTCTCTCTCTCTCTCTCTCTCTCTCTCTCTCTCTCTCTCTCTCTCTCTCTCATCTACCCTCTACCTTGCTCTGATTAGGCTGCATCAGCAACATCTTTTGCAACAACCAATCCCGGGAGATCAACGCTGATGATGTAACTGATCATGACGTCATACGCAAACGAGACGATTTCAGATGACGATATTCCTGCTCATCGTATTACTGTATAGATGTTAATCATTTACTCACATTCTTCAGCTAATGAAGAATAGCAGAACGCAGTTTCAGAAGTATTAATAAACTCTTTGTAGATTTTAAGTATTTGCTCGTTTTATATTTTGTTTCTTTTCTCTCCCTCAGGTGAACGTGTATAACTAACGAGCTACTCCCCGAGCTCCGGGCGCCCCCTCCTCCGGCCCGGCCCTCCCCCACCCCCGCCCTCCCAAGCAAGCACAGGCTGCCGAGGCGACCCGAGGGCTTCGTCGCTTCCGGCTCCCAGCTCCTCGGAGAAGGTCCGTCGAGCCGACTGCGCGGAAGTCGGCGGCTGAGGAGGCGGTGTCGAGCCGCTCGCTCAAGTCCCGATTTCCGTCGGCGGCGGAGGCAGTCCGCGAGGGAACAGAATTCTCTGTATATACATTTGTGTGTTATCTATATGTTCATAAGTATATGTGTGTATGTACGTGTGTGTATGTGTATCTGTGTATGTGTGTGTGTACGTATGTATGTATGTGTGTATATATATATATATATATATATATATATATATATATATATATATATATATATTTATATATGTGTGTGTGTGTGTGTGTGTGTGTGTGTGTGTGTGTGTGTGTGTGTGTGTGTGTATGTATATATATACAAATATATATATACATAAGTATATATATACATATATATATACATATATATATATATATATATATATATATATATATATATATATATATATATATATATATATATATATCTATATATATATATATATATATATATATATACATATATATATACATATACATAAGTATGTATATATACAAACATATATATATATATATATATATATATATATATATATATATATATATATATATATATATATATATATATATATATATATATATATATATATATATATATATATATATATATATATATATATATATATATATATATATATATATATATATATTTATATATATATATATATATATATATATATATATATATATATATATATATATGTATACACACACACACGCATGTACTATAAGTATGTGTACATCCTTGCAAGGCGGCTGAGGCGTAAGCCCCAGCGAGGACCAAATCCCCGACGAGCCTCCCGCCCGCCTTCCTGCTTCCTGTCCCGGCCCGTCGCCTCCGCCCTCGGCTCCCATTTGCCATGCCAGGAAGTCCTCCTTGATGTGCCTCTTGGGGGTGA